CCCCAAAACCCCAAAACCCCAAAACCCCAAAACCCCTAGGTGCTATTCTGAAACTGAATATTATAAATACCATTAATCAATATTATTCTCATCTTCCTCGTCACCTTGGTTCTGCTTAATCTCAATGACCGCTTGAGGTCCTTTGACAAAGAATTCATACAAAGGCATGTACAGGAGTTTCTCACCTTCTAGGATTCTGAAAGCAAGCATAAATGTGAATAGGAGCTTATCCTTCTCAAAGATCGATTGTGACACTTTGTAGAATAATTTCCTAGTGAAGTTCCTCGTGATGTCAAGAAGTCTGTCCTGATCACTGATTGAACTAGTGTCTCGATCTGGTCCAAGCTCTTCTTCAAAAATACTAATAAACCATTTCAGAGAAAATTGGTAAATGTACTCAATCTTTTGCAGATCGTTGACTAAGAAATACATGATAGCAGCACGGTAAGCAGCAGGGTTGTAGAAAGCTTTTGCTTTTTCAATTTTTTGGGTCGTTTTATTGACCTTTTCAAGATTATTTGCCACAATTTCAGCTTTCTCTCTAGAATTTTGTAGAGTGTCTATCATATTCTGGTCTTCAAGCATTTCTTCAACCGTTCCACTGAGGGAATCAAGAATCTGCTGGTTAACTTCCTTGAGCTCTTTGATAAGTTGAACTGCTTCTTTTGATTGCTGTATTCTATCTTCTTCTAGCTTCGCTTTCTCTTTTGAAACCACAATAGAGAGCATTTGAGATTCAAGTCCTTCTAAGGTGACATCAAAGTTAATCAGAGAGACCATAAGCTGGATGTAAGGAGGGAAATCAGGATTCCGAAGTTCTGAGGTTAGATAAAGCTTAAAACTCTCGTCTACCTCTATTAAGTGCCCGTTCAGATAAACACTATTTGTATTTCCTTCTGTTATATATTCTTTCTTACATATTGGATGAAGGATTAGGTCTAGTTTATTTCCAATATTCTCAACCAGTCATGGCATTCCAAGCTTGAGGGCTAACTCTAGTTGCTTGATAAGTTGACCATCGTTGTAGTTAAGCACCTTAATTTTGTATTCATCTTGCCCTCTAGTAGATTCCTGTTTTATAATCCATTTGTGAGCTTGGTACTGTGGATCAATGTTGATACAATATTTACTGGATCTTTCGAGAATGATTGCATTCTGAATCGAAAAACTATCGGGTGGTAAGCCATTATTTATCCATTGCCTGATAGTGATCTGATCACCAAAGACAGAGTTAAACCTGAAATCATCAGCAAGTTTTAGGTTATATCTTCTAATAAGTTCTTTCCATTTCTCTTCCATCTTATCTCTTTGTTTTTGTGCAAATATTCTAAGGTATGTCATTATTCCTGCACCAAGTAGCACATCAGCTTGTACTGAGAAAAATTGCTATAATTAATACATTAAGGCTTACTTTTGCGAGGATTCTATTGAAATAGACCCATTTTTGCTCTTCTCCACTCAGACCTTCAAACAGTTCAAGGGCTCTTTCTTTCCTGACTCTTGAGGATTTTATTCCATTCTCGAGTTCTCTAACTTCATCCTCTTTATCTTCAAGTTGGTTCTTGTAATTAAGAAGGTTTTCTTCAAGTTCTTGTAGCTCTTCTTTCTTCTTTTGCATTTGTTCATTCTTGAGCCTATGTTGCTTTTGAGCCATGATATAAGCTTCCTTTTTAGGCTTAATTTCTTCTGAAATGTAGTAGAATTTTCTGAGAGCCATAACCCAAGTGTAGAGACCTATAGAATGAGAGAATAGACATACCCTTTCCAGCAACTCATGCTCTTGCAATATTTTTGTAATCGAAGTCAGGATTTTGAAGAACTTCTTCTGCTTTAGCCATTGAATCTGGGTCGAGTTGGTCCTCCATTTGTCCATATGAGGTAAGGATATCTAATAATTTCGGATTTCCTAGTACTCTTTTACCAGTTGCTGTTGGCCAATAATCATCAATATAGTGCTGACCATCCTTGCTTTTCACTCTAGTTGGGCCTTCGTTTATCACAATACAGACAGCTGTCATTAACAAAGTAATAGCTTTAGGAGGTTTTCTCATAGTCTTAAGCTCACTAAGTTCTAACTTAGACAGCTGTTTCAGTGCTTCAATAGCTTCTTCCATGTCAGGAATTGCTTTATCAAGCGACTCTCTGCATTCCTTCTCGAGGGCTTCAGCTTCGCTGGCTTCTAGTAACAGTTCTTTCTCTTCTTGCTTCAAATAACTCCTACGGTTTTCAAGGTAGTCAGCTTGCTCTCTATAAACCTCTAAAATTTCTGCGATCTCCTTTTTCTTCTCTTTCAAAATAGGATTTTTGACATCTAGGTCAGTTTGGTACTTCTCTACTGACTCTTTAGCAATCTTTATCTTTTCAAGCCCCCTTTCGTACTTTTCCTGCACTTCGGTAAGTTTGGACTTTATCTCTGTGGAAGCTTCCATGTAATTATCCACAAAATCAGGGAAGATATTTGGAATTTTAGCAAGGAAGGAAGCATCATGATGCATTGTTATCATTATATCTATAATTGCTTCCTTGAATCCAGACATTGGAAAGTTTTTGAAGTGATATTCAGCAACTGCTTTATATCCAGCATTCGGCCATTCCTCAAACCACATTACATTCGAGCAGTTTATGATCCCTTTGTTCTTCCTGATCCTTTCTCTTAAGTTTGATCCTGTAGGACTCATTTCGAAGATTATGTGAAGGTTTTCCTTAACTTTTTGGTAGAATTCTGAAAGAACAAAAGATGCACTTATTTGAGTCTTCAATTCATCAGAAATGATTTTCGACTTAGCCATTGACACAATGTTTTCATGTTCCTCTTTATTATAAATTCCATGGATCTCTCCGTTGTTGATTAAGGAGTCGAGGTCATACAAGAAGTCTTCTTTGAGAATTTGAGAGTAGTTCAGTATAAAAACTGTATTTTTCTCCTCAATGCCTGTTCGGTTCATCAGAATCTTCAAGTCGTTGTGCCAATCTTCAATAGTATAATTCGGAGTGAGCTTGACTTCAAACAGATCATAATTTCAGAGGAAAACAGCTAATCTATCGATTTCTGGAAGACCAAGTCCAGCATTTGCTACAAATATCCCATTCCCATATGGAAGCTTTATTATTCTGGCAATTTTGATGCAGTATTCCACCAGTTTGTTGAATAGGATGATATTGAGTTTTCCCTTCTTGTTTACTTCATTATACTAAATTTAAATTGAGATAGACTTACTTCAGCAATATAGTGTTCTAGATTCATTCTAGCCTCTGTAATATCCCTCACTTCTGTATAAACTCCGTCTGAAGTTGGATTGAAAGTACAGAACAAGAGTTCATCTGGGTTTGCAATAGGCCCTGATTTACCCTAAATTATAAAAATATCTCCTGGCGATCTCATTGATTTTACTAAACAACCACTTTTTGTCAGTGGTATCTTGGAAGCGCTCGTAATAATTCCTGAGACATTCGTTGAGCCAGAGTTTGACAACATGGATTTCCTCTAAAAATTATCTGGAAAGTTACCTTCTAAGTATGAGGGGTCGCAATCAGCAAGGCCATATATTACTTTATACAAGTGTCTTGGGTTGAAGATATTCATGTATTTCGCTGGAGTCGGCTTGATATTCTTCTCAATCACATGTAAAAGATCTATAGAAGCTCTTATCGTAGAAGTCAAAGCTGTATGTAATGACCCATTCCAATTTATCGAAATCATGTCGATGATTTGAGAAAGAGTCTCAGAGTACATCTTGTCGTTGGGCTGAACACCTAAAAATGACCAATGCCATTCATTTCTGTTGCTTAAAACATTTTTGTGATTTTCTAAAGTTATGAGCATATTTACCATAAGTAGTAATGCATCCGACAAACTGGATATCTTCAATTTTTCTTCTCTCTGGAGCAATTTCATCGTACCACCCTCCATAATCAAACCATTGCCGGATTAGCTCATTGGCAGATTTGACTCCATACTCATCAGTAGATGGCATCATCAAGTCATCAATGTAAAATACATATTTGATTCCAAAAGGTGGTCCATAAGTTTTCTTGCTTCTCTTGTCCAGTCTTGAATCAAAGAAGTTTTGAGCTTTCCTTGCATCAGTATTATGTGAGAAAGAGACACTAGCTACTCTAAAATTTTGAGAGACTTTGGGAAGGTAGTTGAATCACACATCTCTGGCTATCCATGACTTTCCAGTTCCTGTCGGCCCGATCAGCAAAATTGACTTGTTCGCAAGAATATTTGCTGATATCACATAGTTATACTTGATAGACTCTTCACTTGAAATGAATACGTTGTAGAAACTTGTATTCTTGTTCAACTCATTATCCACACCTTTGGGGAAGTTTATCTTCATGGCTTCCCAAGTGCTCCAAGCGTTTGTTTCGAGATCGAATACTATGTCAAATACAGAGTGTTCTTGAGGGAAAGGAATCAAGAAATAAGGGGGCTTAGGAAGTTCAATAAAGTCAGGACTTGGCTCAAACTCATGATATCTCTTCATATTCTGCTGCTCTTTTAATTTATTCCTAAGCTGGTTCACTGTAGAGATCTGGTCAATGTTACCAGAAATCTTCCGTTTAATGATTCTGTTGAACTCTTTGAGTACATGAGGTTTTAGAATATACCCAAATGCCCAGACCATAGAGAATATGAAGAATGCCTCGATCCAGAGGTTCTTGTAATTCACAGAATTAAGGAATCTTGTTTCAATGTCAGCAAAAATTGTTGGAGGAATATTTGTTTGCTTTTCAACCTTAGTAACTTTTAAATTATCCTTTGAACCACCGAATAAATTATAAGTCTCTTGGTTCGGGTTACTATACAGCTCTTCCCTGAAATAGTCGTTAATTAGGGAATCAAATAGCCTAGTGAAATTCAAAATCAACCATTTGTGAGAGCAGGAGTAAATCATAGTGTTTGGTTTTATCAGCTTGAGAATGTCTGGGAAGAACCAGTGGCACATATTCTCAATTTCACTATTAGTTAGACAAGAATCTTTACAATAAGTTTTCTTCTAAAACTGGAGGGAGAGACTTTAACCACTTGTTGAATAATCCCTTGCTATTTTGTTAGCGAATTATACTTACTTCAAAATTTGCTCTTCCTGCATATAGATCATTCCTCATCTGGAAATTGTTGCTGGAGTGCATGACATTAAGTTCTCAGCTTCTATCAAGATATTCATTGATGGAGATAGCTTAATAGTTTCTCCAGTATTCAAAGTGAGTTTCTTATTATCATCAAGGACAGAGTTGAGATTCTCTACCCAAATAGGATCAATTGGGCCATCAAATACAATCCATTTCCTCTTATTAGAGGTATCGAGTGCTCACTCTCTCATCAAGTACGCCAGGATTCCATCGACCCAATCATGAGAAGTCTCATCGAAATTACCCATGAGTTGATCAATAGTGATACTTTTTGGATTAATATAGAAGGTTTCAACTCCCTCATTATTTACATTTTGATTGGATTATCTTCAAGTCATCAGGAGTAAGTTTAATTTCATCTAGTATATTTTTATCTTGCTTCGTACTTTTACCTTTCTTAGAATGCTTCTTGCCTAAAAGCTTAGCCTTTTGCATTTTATAAAGAACAGTCCGTTCTTGGATTTCATTATCCCTGCTTCTTTTAAGGGTTTCTTCCAGAGTGCTGATAGTAGTGGTTTTGCCTGACAAGGTAGCTCCAACGACCATAATTCCATGCCGCATTGTAATAGTCTGGTAGAGATATATTATTCTTGAAACTATCTCTTCAGTAACTTGGAATCCTTTATCAATTAATACACTTTCGATGAGCTTCTTCAAAGTGGTGTGTTTATTTTTGGCTTTCATGGGGTTATGGAAAATATCTCTTCAGATACTCTCGAAAATCAAAGTATCTGTATCATGAAATTTGGGTAGGTTCGTATCTTTTATGGCTCTTAGCACGATAAACTCTTCGATCTTCTTATCGTCTATTCATATTAGTTGAAACCTTACCTGAGATCAGATCTGCTGATTCTATTCCGAGCTCATCTATAAGTTGCTCTATTGCCCTTCCTTTACTCCTGAGTTTATCAGAAGCTAGGTCTATTTTTGAATTAATTAAAGATTTATGGCCCTTAGATCTAAATAGTTATTCAAAACAGGTTTACTTATTCACAGAGGTGCTTTCTTGGTGATTAGTTTTCGACTTGTCCTTCTCATCAATCTCTGAGATTTCATCTGAACTCTTGATGCTGTCCTTACCTTCTCTCTCTCCCTCCTCTGAGGCACTAAGTTCAGCTGGTTTTTCCTCTTGAATAGGAGAGGGAGTTTCCTTTTTCTTAATTTCTTTCGCTGCTTCTTCAGCTTTCTTTATTTCCTTCTGAAGCCGAGTGGTCTGTTTTCTGAGGAAGGACTTCTTCATCTTCTTAGAGCTCTTGGTGGCTCTGGATAAAATCTGGAAGTTATCTCTTGAGCGAGATTTGTTGTCATTAATACCTTCTATGTCAGTGCTTTCAAGCCTCTTTTCCTTCTCGTTAATGTCTTCTTTGAGATCTTCAGTAAATTTAGTCCCTAGGTCAACAATTCCAGAAGCTTTGAGCTTGAGGACTCCAGCTGATGAGAGGATTATTTTGATTGCTCTGAGACCAAAGTCATAATGAACCTGTTGCGATAGCTGCTGTTTAGCTAAGTAGAATGTGTACACTATTTTCTGCGCTAGAGATTTTGCTTCATGGAAACCATAGCTGTAGAGAAGAATCTCTGAGATGAGTAAAGAGTCAGGCACAATCATTGATACAGGCCTGAACAGGGATTTTAGGTTATCTGGAAGCTGAGTTCTTCCTTTGTACATCGGATTCATTGTGATGAAGATTGCTCATTCGTTGTTAAAGTTTATGTGAGTTTCTTCAATTGTAATTTCTTTGAGGTTCTCTCTGATAGCACCTTGGATTTGAATAATGATTTGGGAAATTACGGAAAGAACTATAAGAGATATTCTGTTAAATTCATCGAAACAACTCCATGCTCCACTTGAAGCAAGTCCTTTGAAGAATTTAGTCATAGCTGCAAAGTTGAGTGTTCCTGAACAATTAAATAAGAAACAATGTTTGGCTAATAACTTTGCTAAATCTTTTGTTGTTTCAGTCTTTCCTGTGCCAACAGGCCCTTCAGGGGATCCTCCATATCCATAATGAAGTGCCATAAACAAAGATCTATGTCATCTATCTGTGAGTGGGGTTATAACTAATCTTGGTGTATTTCCAAGGTATTCATATCCATAATTTCTAACTGCATGCAACAAGATAACCTTAATATGGTTAAATTTTTGAACAGATTCATTCTTGGGAGGTTCTTTGTCTTCCTCCTGTTTACTAAGTCTGACTTCCATTTCACTTTTAACTGAATCTTCAGAACTATTATCCTCTTCCTTTGTTTCTTCTACAGGAGGTTTTTCTAATTCTTCAGGTTCATAAGAATACTTGATCATCATTTGGTAGGTAAAGTCAGCTTTGAGGTCAGATAAACTGTTGCATTCTGCCATTATTTGGGCAATCTGGTCTCTGTCATGCACTCTTGAAGTAATCAAAGAACTCATTGTTGTTCTAAGAACATCATCTATCTTAGACCTGACCATTGTTATAAGAACATCTATCTCATTGACTATCTTTTGATGCAATTGTTTCAATCTCTGTAGATTGTTAGCATCCATAACTTCCTTAATATTTTTGGTGAAAAGAATACTAGTGACGACTAGTATAACCTGACCTGGCCAGGATACAACCCATTCTTGGTAAGCTTTTCCACCTACTCGGTCTTGCAAAGTCTCGTGGATTATTGCTCGGATGGTCTTTTTCATTGCAGATTCTAAGTTCTTCAACCAGCTTTCTGCACTATCATTTGGGATAACTGTTTCAACGAGGTCGACTGTTTCCCCTTCCTTTGAATGCATAGCGGTGATTTCTCCTGTTGCTTGAAAGGAGAGATTATCTATTCCTTCAAAGATTTTGCCCAAGAATCTCTGGATATTTCTCGGCTCTCTCATTTGACCAAGAATTTCAATAATTTCTTCATTTGAGAGGAAATAGAACCGAGAGAAGAACTCTCGCTTTGCTTCAAGGTAAATTGAAAGTCCTCTCGAGATGATCTCGAAATGAGAGTTTATTCTATATATTACGAAAAGTTACTTACTTCATAAGTTGGAAGTATAAGCCATCTCTCTTGGCTATTCTGATAACACTCGGATCGTATACAATACTTCTCATTGATTGCCTGTAGAAGGTGTCTAAGGATTGGAAACTCTGAGATTCCTGTGGCATTTGCTTTGAAATATCCTCAGACTGGAATATTGACTCGAGATATATCCAAGATTTCTGAGCCTTAGCCCATTCTTCAAGAACATCTTCAACTATTTTGATATCTTTCTCTACTTTTGATACTCTCCCGTTGAAATTCTTGGAAAGCTGGTTGGCTCTGAGAGCGGCTATTTTAATAGAGAATTCATCAAACTGGCTGACAAGTTCATCAATTCCTCTCAAAATATGGGTGTTGGTATCTTTGTACTTCAAGTATGAAAATTCAGCTTGCTTGATCTCATTTTCAAGGTTTTCGAGAGTAGTTTGAATGGCATACTCCTTCACTGCAATGTCGCTTACCCCTTTAATGTTTGAAAGTTTATCAGCTTCATAAAGTTTGTGGTTCAGTAAACTTCGAACAGTTATTGTAGTTGGGTCTAACTGAATATTGAACATTCTCGATAAGATAGTCCAGTGCCTTTCTGTGATCCCTTTCGTCCTCAAAGCTATAACCATCGGAAGATACTCTTTGAATTCATCTAATTTGTTTTTAAGATAGTTCAACAAGTTCATCGGGTGAAAGTATTCAGAAATTTTACTTTTACTCAATCTATTGAGTGATTTCCACCAGTTTACTATATTCTCTTCCATTTCTTCAGCATCAAGGACTTCAAAGTTTCCATCTATCCAAATTGGGAAAGCCTCTCTAAACTTCTCTGCGATGGTCCAAAGCTTTACAAATGACTTGACGTCAGACTGGAGTTTATAAGCATCAGTGAATTTAGTCACTGGAAGGGAAAGTAAATTCTGTCTCTTATTGATAACATCTCAATTTTGCTGGCATTCATCAATTTTCTCTTTAAGTTTGTCCATCTTAATCGAATTTGACTCAATATGGAGTGCATCAAAATCTCCAAAAACTTCTCATTTCTTTACTTCATTCTCGGCCTTATTTTGGCTCATTTTTCTCTCCTGATTTTACTGAAGAGTTGGCACCTGATTGGATCTTTGAGGCAAAATCTCTTGAAAATCCTGTAATTTCTAAAGATCCATCAGAAATTTTCTGGTTGAGCTCCTTGAGTTGTTTCTTATCCCTAAAGTACATCCCAACATCCCTGAAGTCCTCTAGTTCCTTCTTAAGGATCTATATAGATATTAAAGCCAAGTTATACCTTGATAGTATTGTTAACCTGTTGGATATCCTGGTTCATCATTTTAGAGAGTCTTGATCTCTCGCTTTCAAGTTCGGCTCTTCTCTTATCCAGCAGTTTCTCTAAATTCCTAGGGTACACCAGAAGTTTGAGGTAATTGGAGAAATCTTCTTCACTCAGGTCGATGTAAAGGTCATCTAGGAAGTCTTTTCTCTGCTTGGCTTGATCTATCTTGTTCTGGAGTTCTTCCAATTTCTTCCCTGGTCTTCTGATGTTGTCAATATACTCAATCAAGTATATTACTTCGTCAATAGAGTTGCTATCTGAAGAAACTCGCTGCTCAATGGCTTCGTATTGCAACAGAATATGAGTCACTCTTGCCTAGGGAAAATCAGAATTTGGAAACATGGTTAAAGAAACATAGAATAGACTACTTACATCATTTCTTAAGTGCTGCGTCAGATGCTTGATCAGCTTATCTAGATGTTTAAGAATGTTCTTTAAAAAGACTGTGCAGTCCATTTGGATTAATCCGAAATCATAGTATCTCTGAACATATCTTTGAACGTCCCAGTATGCACCTCGAAGATTTGAAAATTCTTCGATGTAAACTTCATTTGTGATGTCAATATTTTTGTAAGCATCCTCATTATCTTCAGAGATAATTTCATCTGACATTTCTCCTTCAGCTTCTTCTATTGAGTTATTTCTCTTAGAGGATTCTTCAGAGTCTGATACACTTGCATCGTATTTCTCATAAGATCTCTTCTTCATACTAAGAATCATGGAATCAGGGGTGATTTCAAAGAAACTTGTGTACTTTTTCATAGATTTTATCTGCTCTTGAGGCTTCTCTTTAGCATAGTTTATACAAGAAGCTATTAACACTAACTTCTGGTCAACCTTTTGGTCAGGAGATCTTAGAATATTCTTATTCAGCTCTATTTGGGGGAAAATATCTTCATCAATTCTTTTGATACCACTTAAGGTGTTCAGAAATAAGTTAGTGAAGTTGAACAGGTCTTTTCAAATTCCCATTAATGAAGGTTTGGAGTAAATCATGTATTTAGATCCACCCTCTTCTTTATCTCTGTACTTCTTTATTTTAACAACAGTCTTGATCATTGGCTTGTCAAAGTGAATATCTTTGTCGAACTCATCAATCCCTTGCTCAAGGTACTGGGGATTATTCTCATAAAAGTCAGTGTCTCTTGCTACGAACCTGACGAGTGTCCGAAGGTAAATCTCCAATGTATCAAAATACCTAGGTATTATAGACATTACTTACTTTTCAGCTAATTGGGTTTCCATCCTGAGTCTTCATACTTCAAGCAGCTTGATAATGAAAGGATTCAGACTGTTATTTTTGAGGTCGTCAATGATCATTTTGGTATCAAACTGCTTATATATCACATCTTCTACAATTTTAGTGATTCCTCCTGCCCATTTAGACTTAATCACGCTCTTTTTGAATGAGTTGTTGACTGCTTGCCACACTTTAATATAGTCACTCAGCTCAATTGGAAAATGGTTGATCATTTTATCTAAAGAAAAGTTTAGTATATAAGCTTTCTGATGATAAATATTATAGATCATTCCAGTAATTGCAACTTCTTCAAAAGAGTCATAAGAAAATTAGGAGGGACATAAGGAGGAATTTAATATTTTTTAACTATTCCTTTAGTTCAAATCTGGGATTAACAATTGTTGGGATCTCAAACATCTTAAAAAGTTTAAAAGATATAGTCTAGAGCAAAATTAAGCTGAAATAAAATGTAGATTATTTGCTATAAAACTTCATTATGAGCCGAACAAAGCTTGAATAGAGAAAGATTGACCCTTTAACTAAAACTGGCAGTCAGAAATATATGAAAGGAAAGAAGTAGATCCTCTTTCCACAGTTGCTTTTGGTTTGATTGCAATTAATCTCCTTAAAGCGCTACAAACGAAGACTTTCATCTCGTAGTTCAAGTCATAGGCTAGGTTAAAAATTTTCATTGCAATATTCAAATAATTTTGAAAGTCTGAAGCTTTCAAAGTAATAAATTTTTCAAATCTAAATTCAAGGATGCTATTAAGACACTGGTTGGGTCTCCAAACATTTCGATCATGACATCAGAGATAGACAAATATGCGAGATCTTGGAAAAAGAGAAAACTAGAATCGATTAAATTCTATAATCTGTTTAGTTTAAGAAAGTACTCAAGACCTTCTTAGACTAGATAGAAATTTGATGAAATTAATTTATGTATCCTGAGAGGATTGAGGAAAATTTCGAGAAATGAATTGTAGAACCTTGTTTGATTACTCCTCTCTAAAATATTAATTGTTAATTTAAAACATTCTATCTAGGGCTAGAGTTGGAGATATATCATACCAATTTCGTCAAATGCTACTCCTTTGAAGTCTGGATCGTTCTTGAGTACAGGGAACATTACTTCGTAACTAAGAGGATGGCAGAAAAGCTCCCCATTAAGCACAAAATCATTTATGACATTGATATCCAAGATTGCGTTGATATATCATTGTCTTCCTAGTAAGGAGTACTGCTTGAGGATTATCCCAGCATCGCTTCTAGATATTCCAAATCCCTGGTTCATCTGGAGCATTTTCTCAACAGGGCCTCCATTGATTTCGTAGCTCTTGAGGCCATAGAAGGGAGGAGGTGGCTTTGGGATCTCATAGATCCTGTATCTTGTCATTATCTTTTGAATATTCTCATCCATATATTGTGTAAATAGGACACTTTTTAGAATTGAAAAGATATATAAAGTCTCAACCTGAATGCACAGGTTGCTTACATAGGAATGTGGTTCAAATGTGTTCAAGTCAAATAAGAGTTTCCTTTTGATATTTTCTTTTATTCTACGATCCATTTTGACATAATCATATTTATTAGCAAGCTCGTTAATGAAAGCTTTCTCACAATTAAGTTGGTTCTGAGCCTCGTGTCTTCTTCTAGCAACCATATCTTTCCGAGCAGCAGCTTCTGAGGAGTCTTCATACTCCATTTGAAGGTTTGAGCGGCAGCAGTATTTTCTTAGCTTAGAAATTTTAGAGAGGTCTTTGTGTAGCTGAAAATCATAACCTCTTAGCTCAGAATGCTTGTACTTATCATCAAATTCTATTAAGAACTCTCCACGGTCAAAATCGTACGAAAGGACCTTTACCTTGCAGTCAGTCATAGTTCCATCTTCATTGATATATGGGGAGATTGCCCAGAGGAAATCATCTTTATTTTTCTTTTCTTCAATTATACCCAAAATCTTATCTATTTCATTACTTCAGTCATCGAAGATAGAGTGAGGGAGGTGCTCTGGAGAAGCAAAATCTGGAGTGACGTGGCTCAAAAACTCTCATTTTAGCTTAAAACTCAGCAAAAGTATTGTATTAGTCAATGGATTTGCACAGTCAATATTGAGATCGAATGTATCATCATCTTGCTCATTTCCATCTTTAATACTGTTAGAATCCTTTGTTTTTGAGTCAGCATCATAAGAACTAAACTGCATGTACTGAAGAAGTTCATATTGGGGTATATTCTTCCTATTTCTAAGATAAATATCTATCTCAGCATCTTTGATCTCATCTGGGTAGATGTCTTTACAATTCCTAGTGTTTAAGATCATATTAGTAGTCATATCTTCATCTTCGTAATCCTTGAAATACTGCAGGCTGTTTGGGTCATTCATCAACCAGGTCTGCATACAAACAATTTCGGGACCTAAAGTTCACGCTTCAATTTGCAACGTCTTAAAAATATCACTACAAAATTTATACATAAGTTGTAATTAATTTTATGAGTTTTAAATCTATGGGTTAAAACATTAAGGGGGAAACTAAGAAGAAAATATCGAACTTATTATCCAGGGATGAATGCACCTATTCCATAATTTATAATTCTACTTGTCTTAATAAATTTAGTCGAGTGGTTAGACTTTACTATTGAGCCAAGGGATATAATATTGTTCAGCTTTTCATCGTCACTCAGCTTACTTAAGGTTTTTGGAGTAAACTTTTCTTTACGATATTTCAATGACTTCTGTAGGAGGAAATCCAGCTCTGCTTTGTTTGCATTATCCTCTTTGGTAGCACCAGGACCTACAGGTTATCTCAAGAGTTTACCTAGAGGAAGAAGTTCTGCATTTGTGCGGAGGTCTTGGAGATGTAGCTGGTCAGCCTCTCTTTTTAGACGTCTACTCTCAAGTTCTTCTTTTTCTTCCTCAATAGCTTGGATTTTAGGCTTGTTTTTCTAAATATTGGACTGAGGGATTACTTTAGGATACATGTAATGTGTCTCTTCAAACATCTGTTCAAAATGGCTCCTCAGTGGCTGAATATCTTGCAATCGCTCCTTTTCGTTTGAAGTAAGCAAGCTGTTTTGCACAGGAAGAGGATTAGGGGATCTCATGCCTTTGAAAGAATATTGTGTCGTATTTGCTCTTTCCCGGTTAAAATTCCCAGTAGCTATTTTCTTGATCTCAGTAGCCTTCTTATTTATCAAGAGCCATAGGAGCAGCAGTGATGGGCTTTCTAAATTTATGCGTGCTGTTCATATCATTTTCGGACTTATTTACAATCTTAAAATTCTTGATCATAAAGCGGTTGTCTCTGAGAGTATTGTTCATAGGAGCAGTATGCTGGTGAACCTGGCTACCTTGGGAAGACCACTTTTCAAACATTGTAGAGTTCTTCATCTTTTCTTCTTCGCTGATATGTCTTCTTTGAGATTTGACGCTTCTGTTCTTTGAAGAAAGCAAATCAGTGATATGGAAACCCATTTTCTCCTTACAAGGTGAAACTATATTCATGATATTTGAATTGTTCAATTTGGAATTTGGATCAATAAATTGCTCAAGTTTGGTCATCCTAAATTTCTCCGCATGCTTTTGATTCGTTGCAGTCATTGGCGCTCCAACAAAAGAATGGTTGTTCATCACTCTATCTTTGCTCAGCGCTTTTCGTGACACAACTCTGCTTGTCCTTCCTGAAGACTGTGCTTTATTTCCTGTAATCAAATGGCTTTTTCCCGTCAGATTTTATGGCTATTCAAAAGGTTGAGCACAAGACAAACATGAGTTATGTTATGAAATCTTACTTTGGTTTAAGTAATTTGAGTCATTTGATTTGTTGTTACGATACTTTAGAACCTAAACAGAGTCAACTAGGCACTTTTTACTTGTTCAATTGTAATCTTATGATCCTGCTTCTTCATTTAAATTTAATAATACACAAAGATTAAAATTTATATTTGGGGTTTTGGGGTTTTGGGGTTTTGGGG